GCCGCTCCACAGCCGAGGCGTTCCCGTACACCGCGGGCTCGTTGTTTTCCGAAGGCGCGCTGCGGCAAGTCGATTCATCACTCGATCTAAGCTCATCATTTACAATCCAAACTACTTAGCGTCGAGGAAACGAAGTATCAAAGCTCATAAATACATCGAGTAGTCGGCCGGCGAAAAATCAATTAATGGCCGAGAACAAGCAGAAAGACGCCACTAAATCATCATCACAGTCGGCCACTCTAACGAGCGCGAAAACCCGTCGCGGCTCTCTTGACCGGGCGCTCGATGACGTGCTATCGAGCGCGTCCCCGTTAATTATAATAATTTATGGCCGCGATTGGCTAATTAAAATATCTAAGTACCGTCTGCGCCCTGCTTTGGCGGATTTGTTTGGGCGATATATCGCCAGCACCTTATAAATATTGAGTGGCGCGCGCCCGCGCCCATTAATTATTTATCGGCAGCCGCGCGCTTTATCGGGAGAGGCACGCGCGATTGGCGCTGATTAAATCGATGTGCTCTCCGCTGTGCTCGTTCCCCGACCGACCGCTAATTTGCTCGTCGACTTGTCTGTTACTTCTGTTTTTTGCATTGCCACGCGATAATTGGACTTGCTCGCGATTCGCAACGTCGAGACGCCGTCCTCCGACTCGCCAGCTAGCTCGCGCCTCGTACGTAATCGGGCTCGCTAACCCTCGTGAAAGCGCGCAATTTCTCGCCGCGCGATGACGAGAGTGACGAGAGAAAATCTCGCCCCGCTCCCTCGATTTATATTCTAAGAGAAGCGGGTTAAAATATGCCTCTGCGCTCGCGTCTAAATTAATTCTGTCCCAGTCGTCAACGGTATGCGCGCCCGTGCATACGAGTGTGTGTGGATCGCATCCATAAGTGCAGTGTGGATTCTTACATCGCGACGAGCCAAACTCCACTGTCGAATTTTGGATGCGTGCCCGGGTGGCGACTTTATAGCAGTCGGAGTGTCTTTTGCACGAGAGCAGTGGCTAGGAAGCCCAGAGAATTAATCGGCTTGTTTTGACAGCCCTAATGCCTCGGCAAATGTTGCGTGGCCGGCCGACGATCGGTTAATTATAAACTCTTAATTGCGGCCCGCGACGACTCTTGCGTGGCGGCCTGTAAATATTTCTATAAAGATCGTAGGATACTTGTTAGCCAATACAAAATTCGTCCTTAGTACTCGATGCTTATTCCCCGGCTACTTTTTCCATTAATACGCGATCGCGTCTTTCTTCTTTTATTTATTTTTTGCATTTGCCGCGCGCATCGATTAAAAAAGGCGGCAGTAGAGGGCCATACGTCGTTGAAAGTATAGCAGGAAGAATTGGCTGCTGTTGGTAGAAGCTCGGACGCTGGAGGAAGGGTAGGTACAGCCAGCAGCTTGAGCTTGCTGGAGACAGCGGAAGAAAAATAGCGGAAGTCATCGACCTCCAAGGGGCTATATATCACGTGCTTGCAATGGGCGTACTACTCTCTCAGCTTCCATGTGTGCTCTCTCTCTCTCACACACACACACACTGTGCAGAAGCTCAAATGAAAAGCAAAAGAAAACAGAGAACAGATACGAGATCGAGCGTTATAGAACGGTCGTGCATTCTCGCACAGAGGAATGAAATGAAACTTGGTTTTTTTTGGAGGTATCATCGTCGGGAAAAAAAACCGATGGTAGGATGACAGTTCGGGCTGGGTAATAGGCACGCGGATGAGTTATTAGTATCCGGCAAGAGTCGTCGCGGATGACCAATAGTTTCATCGAGGGATTGTTGAAGGTTCCGGAGCACATTTCCGGCTTCCGCAAGCTTCCATCTACCCCCCGAAATTCGCCTGCACACAAAACGCTTCTGAGTCTAGCGGATGCCTTGGCAATATCGTTCTCTCTCTATACATATACTATCGCCCATAGCCACTCTCCATTACACCTAGCTCACTTCCTTGGCCAATATTATACGCAGCAGCAGCCCCTTCATAGCAAACTTCCGGCTTTTGTCTTGAACGCGCATTCACTTGCTTTTCTCCAGAACTGACCCTCTAATATCTTTCAATACGGAACACGAGCAGCGCCGTCGAGGTCAGCATCATTTTAACGATATCAAGTATCTGCGTACTCTCCGCGTGTATCGATTTGCAAGTTTAAGCGCGAGCACACTAGAGACAATGCACGCAACAAGCGCGTCGTGCACCAGGCGCTCTCTGCTCCGTGGAAAGCTCTCGATGCTGACGCGCCTACGAATTCTCTCGAGTTTGCTCAGCGTGTGCGCGCGCGCGCGCGCGCGTGCTTGTTTGCGTCAGCTATACAACTTGGCCTTCGTCGTCGTCGCCAACTAAGTTCTCTCTCGTAGCGGCCCGCGACCTCAAGCCTCGTAAGTTACTCGACTAATGTCGTTTTCGTGTTAGAGCTCGCGCGCTGCGGATTTCCAGTTCTCTCCCCGCAAAAATCTAATTATCGCACCACCTTGTATTGCGACTCGCTTGCAAATGAGCCTGATCGTTAAGTGCTATAAAAAAAGTGGACGCACGGGAGAAACGCTGCTGCTGCTGCTGCTGCTGCTGCTGCTGCTGGCGCTGCTAGCTCGTTAACCTTTACGTTTTATTGATTCGCCTGCGTTACCTTCCTTTTCTTTTACTTTTTTATGTTGGTTTTCACTTGGCGAGCAAGGACGATATGGAAGAATGATACTTGACGCGTTGTACGCCTAATAACAATATTTCAATAAACAGCAGCGAAAGCTAATGTCATATTACTCTTAATCTTCGCTCTCGCTCTATCATCAAACAACTCGCTTGTAATAAGACCAAATCCATCTGATGTCGCGCAATACATTAAGCTCGTCGTCACAGTCACTCGACAATCTAATATACGTATACCCTAACCATCCTAAGGAGAGTAACGAAGTTGCATTTTAATATAGAATGACTGATGTGGCATTTACCGGCAAAAAGGAGGACGTAATCGAGCAATGTTCTCTCTCGCTCTCTCGTTGTGCCTTTTCCAGAGGGTGGCAAGGCAAGCGGCGTAAAAGCGGTGCCCTACCTCCTCTTCCTTATTCCGTATCAGCGGAATACTTTCTCGCAGCTTAACGCGAACGCTTGCGCGGCAATTAACGGCCAGTAGAGGCAGCAGCTCCTCTCTCCCCGCTTACTAAATAAATTACACACGGGGGTGTCCCACGGTGAACAGGATTTACGCGCGGCTCCGAAACGCACCGCTGCTAGCTGCTAGCCGCTTTTATTGCATTAGCCTTTTTCTCCCTCAGACGCTTTATACGATTTCAACCGCGAGGCAGGTTTGTTGTCTGTCGCGTTTCGTTTGCTGGCCTCGCTTCGCAGACTAACTGGAAAATTACCGACCTTCGGTTTATTCAAACCTGATTGTGCCTGTGCATGTGCGTGTGCGCGTGTGCTTTTTAATGTCTACTGAAGACGTTATTCGTTGCTTCACAATTGCGATCGAGTTTCACTTTCTTTTTTTTCTTTTCATTTAAATCGGATACAGTTCGTGGTACTCAACGAATTGGAGTTCCACTGATTTTTGTCATCTCAGGTTACTTCAACTCGTTAACAATTGCAATGATTCACAGAGAGAAAAATGTATATTGAGAGAGGTAATCTGGACAAACTGCAGATGTAAATATTACACTCGTCCGAGACACTCAGTCTCCGGCACTCGAATAATTTGCAATCCGTAACTAATGCAAATAACGCGTACACATCCCGCTCGCTATATCGTCATCATCTCCTTTGGCCGGCCTGAGCGTTCGAAGAATCTAAAAGTGCACGGCGATGCGATTTCGCGCGGCGCGGGCATATAAATATGGCGCACGTGCACGCACACACAGCGAAAGGTAACGAGGAAGAACATTTTCTCCGTCTCCGGCGAGCTTTTAATCCATAAGCCGGAGAACTCGTCGTTCGTCTTGATTTTCTTCGTTGGGGTCTGCGCTCGCGCACAAAGAACGTGTTTTCGTGTTTTTCTTGTTTGTCGTTGTGGCGACCTGGCGACCAAATCCTTGAAAAGCCTTTGTGCGCGTAAATTGCGTCTGCACACCTAATTACCAGCTGCAATGCATATAAATGTCCTGAGTTGCGCGTCGAAGAGCCGACTCGACTGAGATTTCGCTCGCCCGAGCTCGATTTCTTGATTTCCCATATTGTGGCGACGACGGCGCGGCACGGACGCCCCGCTGCGTTATAGCGCGCGTTTAATCGCACTAGCAGTTCTCTCATCCCTCGATAGTGTGGGATATCTCTCGCGGAGTGGCCATAATGTCGAAGAACTACATTCCTCCGACGAATACACGCGCGCACGCGCGCACGCGCGCAGTTGCAGATCCATAATAATCCCGCGCGACTCTCTCGTGAGATAAGTTTGCTTCGCGTGAGAGAGGAGAGGTAATGAAAGAGCCGACAAAATAAGAAAAGAAAAGCAAGTTTTCAGAGCCGTAATATCGTTTCTAATGACTGTGATTTACGACGGAGCTGTGTGCACTCGCTTATGCACGAAATATTTTGATTCATTAGAAAAAATCGCAATAAGCTCCTTCTAAAGAGCGAGACTCTGACTTTACTGTCATCGCCACTGGTATAATTCCTGTCGAGAGAGAGAGAGAGAGAGAGAGAGAGAGAGAGAGAGAGAGAGAGAGAGAGAGAGAGAAAGAGAGAGAGAGAGAGAGAGAGAGAGAGATCGACTCCCCCAGTTTTAATGTCTCGGTATCTTAATGTATATTGCCTCGATAAATCAAGAGCACTGATTGCGTCGCTGTCCCGTCACCCTGCTCTCTACCATTGTGCCCCAACCCTTAAGCCTTTCTTATGCTAAATCCCTCGCTTACACCCGTTAGCCATAGCTCAGCGTTGTTTAGGAATTCTTTTCTTCTGGAACGACAAGACTTTTGTAAGAAAAACACACATTACACGTAATATACATGTCTGAAATCAAAGCGGCCCCGCCAATGGTGGGACAGTGTTCTAACCGTAGTAACGTGTAGTATTCCCGACATTGTCCGCAGGTCCGTCGGGTGCTTATAGTCCGGAGGCGACGATGGGTTACATGATGGACGGACAAGCGGCTAGCATGATGCACCGACAGCCCGCCGAAACTGGCTTTCACAATCAGTACCACTATCCTGAATATTACGGGCATCACTTATAAAGGTAAGAGTAGAGCTTTGGCCAGCCTGATTAACATTGATTTTCAGATATGTTTGAGAGGTGGACGAGAAGCTAGGTGGGCAGTGAATAAGGCCGACTAATTCAACTGGTTTCTCTTTGCGATTGATGTTACAGCTGGATGCACGCGTAGGCGAATGGAAGACGATGATCGCACGTCATAGCGAAGAGATGGCAGGATGGAGCACGATTGTCCTAACGCGCAACCCGGAACCACGTGGAAGAGAGTCGCGCGCGATCAAGCAGCAGCGGAAAGACCGAGCGAGAATCGATCGACTCACGCCTCTCTCGAGCCACGCTGAAGAACTACCGTGAAAATAATACGAAAGCGGCGTCAAAGATTTTTAATCGAGCTAAGCCGACGATTCTTGCCCCGCGTTCAGGTGCTCGAGGCTGACACTCGCGTGTGCGTGCGCGTGTCCAAGCGACGCCGCATTACGAGACCGATAGAATGCGAAATCGAGAGATGAATTTGATATTTAAAAACGATTTTAAGTAACATACACATTTTAAATACACGACAGGTTTGCGGTGGTGGGTCAACGCGAGAGCGCGAGAGCGCGAGAGCGCGAGAGAGCGAGAGAGCGAGAGAGCGAGAGAGCGAAAGAGAGAAAGGAAGAAAAATTCATGTGATTGTTCTTTGTACAAATATTTGCGATGTAATATTGTAGTGATTGAAGATATTAAATGTTAAATTTTAATACGATCGCAATTGAGAGACTATATATGTAATGAACATAGTAATATAGGCAATTTTTAGCGGGCATGTACATTACAATGGACGATTTTTTCTCGCGCTGCGAGCCAAACACAAAAACAATTAAAATAATGAATAATAGTAATAATACATGAGAGAGCGAGAGAGCGAGAGAGCGAGAGAGCGAGAGAGAGAGAAACATGGAAACATGGAAAAATAGTAATGAAGACATCCTCCACGCTTGGTCCAGACGTACGTGCGCGAATCCGATATTCATGTCGAATGAATTGGAGAGTGGAAGAGAGAAAGAAGAGCGAGGCTCAAGGTGCTTATATATGAAAATCCGCCTCGAGAGAGATATTAGAAGCATAGAGGTTATGCGCGAGCGAGCGCGAATTGCGAAACTCTATGAAAAGAGGCGACTGTCGACTTGAGGCGTCGAATTTGTCGTCCCGTTTAAAAAAACGGATCTCCTCGACGCACGCAATAGGAACATTGAATCTGTACAGTTCTTACCTTATAAATAAATTTACTAACTAAACAGAAGTAAACTATATAAATATTATAAATAAATGAATCAACATTGAAGAAGGAACATTAAGCGATCGCAGAGCAAATGGAAGCCCCTCCATTCCTGCAACGGCTCTCGTGTATGTATACACGTAAATTTCGACCCGAGCATTGTATAGTATATATACAAAAAAACCGAGGATAACAATGTTGGAAGGTGGATCTGAGAAATACACGAGAGAGATGGGGGCTATACAAAGCGAAGCGCTCAATTAAGAAAAAAAACAACACAACCTAGGAGTTAATTTAGAGAGTTAACGATTACGATTTACTATAATATATTGTGTATAAATAGTTAATTCAAATTTGGAGTGCGCGAGTAACGACGAAAGTGCGTGATGGTGTGTGTGTGTGTGCGAGCGACAGTGAAGGTGCTTGACTATAAACAATAAAAAAAACTTTTTCTTTTTTTCTGTGAGAGAATGCAAGAAATTATGCATTAGTATGAGCGGTGTATAATAGAGTATACATATTATATATAGTACGCGAGTAGCAGGTATCTAGGGCCCGAAAGTACATCTACACACACGAGTCCACAATCGGTTCGTCGGCAGTTTCGTTTCTTTTTTGTTTTGTTTTTTTTTCTTTTTTTGTATTGCATCGTTACTCTATCCCGGAGAAGAAGAGAAGAAGACAGAAAGAGAGAACAAGAATAAAAAAAAGTGAAGCGAAAGGGGGCATCGGAACATCCAATTTTCTTTTTTTTTGGCGCACGAAATCTACGAAGATTTTTGCATGGCAACCAGCACACATATATACATATATACAGAGAAACACGGAATGAGAGGAAGAGAGAGAGAGAGAGAGAGAGAGAGAGAGAGAGAGTGGATCGGCAACGAAGCGGCTCCCTCTCCCGACTGTACCGTGAGAATGGAAAGAGAGAAAAAGACAACGAGATCTCGATTTAATCCCATTTATATCCCTTCCCCCCTGCAGTTCTTCTTTCGTTAAAGTGCGCTTACTCTTGATTGGCGATTCGTCAAGGTCAGTGTGTTTTTCTTACCTTTTAATTTATTCGCGGCAATGCCAGCAGCAGCTGAAAGCATTCGAGATTTTTACTACGTTCTACGGATGATCAACAACAAGATCCGACGGCTAAAACGAAACAGACGTCGAACTTTCAACGCCCATTCAATTCGAAGAGAAAGAGGGAACGAGTGACCGAGAGAAAGAGAGAGAGAGAGAGAGAGAGAGAGAGAGAGAGAGAGAGAGAGAGAGAGAGAGAGAGAGAGAGAGAGAACGAATGCAAGAGAAAAAGATAGAGAAAGCGAGTGCAAAAATCTTGTGCAAGTCCATTCTTCATCTCTTAGATACTAAATGTCCTTGATATACGTAAGAGTGTGAAAGAAAGAGACAGAAGCGCATCTACATACACAACACAAAGGCTAATTTTGATGAGGCTCTCCTGGTGATGACCACATATATTCATTTTGAAATGTATAGCAAGGATCGACTTATCAGTGACGAGAAACATTTGTTTCAAGATTTTCAACTATTTTCTATCGAAATTGCGACGTTGCTTTAACAACGCACCGGAAATGATCACCAGTGAAGTTGATATCAATTTTAAATCTCTCAAAATTATATGTCGGATAGCACGGTAGCAACGGATATCAAGCGAACGATGTACTTTACGTAAGGATAGTTCACCGTCGAGTTGAGGCACAATCGTGCGTCACTTCGATTGATTTAATCTCATTTAGAGAGAGGTACTGATCACATCGATTGATGACTTCATTCGAGAGGTTAACGTCAGACAAACGAAACGAATCGTCGCTTTGGTTTTACGCGTTACGTGACTCGGCGTTTTAGTATACTGAAATGTAAAAAATCAGTGGAAATTGATGTATACCGAAACTTTTATGTAATTAACACTGAAAGAAAAAAAGATTCACGTCTGATTAATTGGAGAAAGAGATCATCGAACGCGCGATCGTGACTTGGTAACATTTAGGTCACACTTCAATTATGCCCATGCTGACGAAAGAAAGATATCGATCTTCCTCCAGTGGATCAAGACGCGTTAAAAACTTTATAAAAATGCCTTTGATGGTAGCCGAAACTCCTGGCCCGCAAACGACGATTATCGCGTATACGAGCTGTGCGCGTTATGAATACCTTTTAAAAAAAATGTACGCATACACGCAAGCGCACGCGTGTCAAAAATCGCTCTGACATTCTTGAAGAGAAGCAATCAATTTTAATTCAATGGGAACGATCTAAGCAGACAATCAACCGTTAGACATGCGTTTATATCAAACAAAAGGCGGTTTTTTAATCTTTTGGCCTCGTGCCGATCGACTCGCAATGAACGGGCAACTTTCTTATGATTCTGATTTTTTAAATTATTGAATTTATTGAAATAGATTTTAAATTTTGTTGTAAGCCCGACTTGTGTGGATCGGTGCGACGTCGATCGACCAGGGGAACAGGAGTTTCGGTTTCGTTTTTTTATCCTACATTTACATCAAATTATCTTATTATGAAAAGAAAAATTATCAGGCGGAATCGGATCAAATGTAACTAATCAATCGCATCGTTGCTCGGTTATGGCTCGAAAACTTTTAGCTAATTCACATTTGTCGAACTGTCTATTAATTTTTCAATAGTGCAATCTTTTTAATTGTTGAATTAATCATAATTTTATATAAAAAAAAGAAACATAGTATTAATATGTTTGGTAGATTTTAGTAACTTAGGACGACGAGCTAAACAATCGAGCAGTGCGAGAATTCACAGGGGATCCGGGTTCAAGTTGATCGTCGAAAGTCAAACTACGGCTGCCTTTTGTTACAGGGTTCAATATAGAAATATTAATTGAACTGTATAAAAAATATAAATAAATTCGGCATAGAACAATTATAGATAATCAGGAGAAACTTTTCATTGTAACTGTTCAGTATAATTATATGGCTTTCGGCACCAATTCCACCTGGATATCCCAATTTTAACGACTGTATACGATTTTACAATAAACACTATTGTCCTCGGTAAGCGATATAAAATGAATAATTTATAGAAAGCAAATTTTTACGAAACAATTTACAAGAGAGATACGATGCGATCCGACACTTTGGCTGTTCGTTTAAAAATGAGTTCATTCGATTGAATCATCGCCTTAAAAATGTATACGAAGTAACAGTTAAGCTATCTAAGTAATATACACGTTAGAAGGTATAGAAAAAGAGAGTACACAGAGTTTTTATCAGCAGTAGCATCATCGACTCTAGTGAGTGGAGAGAGAGAGAGAGAACGAAAGAAGAAAATAGAGCAGATGCGGGTGAGTGGTGTCGTATGCATGTGCGAGCGCGAGAAAGAGTGCAAAAGAGAGATTAAGCGTACCGACAACAAGAAATTAATAAAAATGCTTGATCGCATGAAACCTTACCGAGTGAGTGAGTAAAAATGTGTTTGTGGTGGAATTCGTAACAAGAAATAAAACAATGAGGAAACAAAACACGCTGTATAATTATTATATATTGTGTATAATTATGATTACCGATCGTCCGATTTTCTTGCGGTCGACGTTTGATGATCTGCCACGAAAATAGGGCTTGATTTTGCGAAGGGAGAAAAAATTGTTGCGATCACTATTGTAAACGATTATGATAAAAGATGATGTATAAATATGATAACATTCATTATATCGGTATGAAAATTGACTTCATCCAGTGTTTATTTTCTTTTTGCGCATTGTTCGAAACCTTGTCTTCATATACATTTTTTCAACAGCAACAACAACTCACCTGACATACCTTGACCAGTCGCATTGCATCACATCGACAACGTGATCGAGAGTAAAAGTGCTAAAGATCAAATGTTTTTAACTACTACACTCATGGATTAAACGCTTGTTCTCGTCGCTATTTAATCGTTCGCTTCACGGTTGTATTGACATGTAGACGTACGGGAGGAACCTTTCTGCGAGCAAACCTTGAACCATGTATACGACTCGTACCTTGACTATGAGTAACAAAATAAATCGTGATCGCGAGGGCAACAAAGGAAAATCGAATTTTAGCCCGGTTCGGAATACGTGTATATTGTACGTAAAAAAATAACACGTGTTCGATGATTTTAACGTGCGATTTTTCTTTGCTGCTGCAATGAATAGACGTGTACATCAGCGTAGATTTCGTGCAAGAGTATCGTCACGCGCGAAGAGAGAAAAGGAACAAGAATAGAGAGCAAATGTGAACGTTTATTTTGTCAATCTTACGCGATTGAGTTGCAGTACGAGAGAAGGAAACAAAAAAAGTGACACGAACGTCAAGCTATTAGAACAATACCGTGAAGACATCTCATTCTATTGTTTAATGCGACTCCATATATATATATGGATATAATGAAACCATGCAAAGATGGCTAAAAGAGACCGGGAGACGATCTGCTTTGGCTACCTTATTGCATGGCTTTAGTATACCCCTATCTCTGGTTACGTATTAGTCCATAGAATTGTACAGATGCGACGAATCGAACTATACGTGTATATACATATACATGTACAGCGATTCGCGTGACGCGCTCGCGCTTGACTGTATAATAGCCGTATGCAAACGTGAACGAGCGTTTTCTCATATGATCATCGTGTGTGTCACTCGTTTCTAACGTCACGCGGACGACACATGCACATTTACACACATACACACATTTCACTTTATACGAGGCAGCGAAACGAAAGAGCGAGAGAGTTTAAAAAAAGAGAAACAAAAGGATGACGATGTCATGGTGGTCTATGTTAGAAAAGTGTCCATTGTATAGTGTTTTTTGAAAAACGTGAGCATTAAATGCTACATCTTGTGTACATACGCTGTTTTGCAATTATTTCACTCTCTCCCGTTCCTACTTTCCCACATCTATTATTTTATCCTTTGTTTATTACTTATTTTTAAAAGTTATTAAAGTTTTCTTTATTTATAATTCATATATAAGAAGAATTGACACCTTAAAAAGTGAAAATTTATTAAAAATTAGTTATTCCGAAAATTACTTGAAGACCAAAGAGACATACTCATAAATATAAAAATAAATGGAAAAAATCGTTATATAAAGAATACAAAGGCAACGAGCTCCATTACGTTGAATGACTCTGCAGTTGAATGCCTGTCACGAAAAAGGTAAGCTTGTACGTATACGTTATAAGCGCGGAAACAGATAATTATGACGGATAAAAAGTTAAACAGAATATAGTGGAGGCATCAGCCTGATTGTCGACGACTAGACAGATGCTCTAGTCGATTTGACAATTGATTAAGCACCAATTAACGACATTACGCTCGCGGCCGTAAAGAAGTATACGAGAATAAGTTTTTCAGGCCGTCTCTTTCGATAAAACGTGGGCTTGATGGTTTGTTAGCTCGAGCCGTCGATGATGATTCGAGAGCTCGTTATGCTTGTATAGCGGACGCTGCAAAAAAATAAAGGGTGTCGATGGTGCCTCCTCTCGTTTGCGAGTCGAACGCCGCCACTACCACCACCGCCACAACGTCGCGTCCCCTGGCCATTTATGAAATATGAGAGAGGGTGGTGGTGGTGGTAGCAGTGGCGGCAGCTTCGTGCCAATTACCGCTGATGGCTATTCCATGGAAATGGACCTTATTATACGCGTATCGTCTCGGCTTCACGAACGGCTTTCAGAGAGATCCCAATTATTGACGACGCGCCGTCGTCTTTTCTTCGAGAAACGTGGCTCCGGCAAAGTGACAGCAGGACCGTTATATATTTGCTTAGTTTATTGATTACATGAGAATACTTGAATGTCACCTCCGATTTCACGCGATGAGCAATAGAAAGACCCATTCTCCGTTTGAAGCTGTATCTTCGAGCAATTCGTCCGTCAAAAATAGAACTTCAAGTGACTTTTGACGAATCTCGATTTTTGTTCGACCGAACTCAACGTATCCGTTATGCGCAAGACCACGTTGAAGCTCTTCTTGATCGACGAAAAAAAAAATATCGACAAAAAGTGCTGCAGACTTGAACTTGGTGGAGCAAAAAATAACCCTCGGCCGAAGAGTCAAGTGTGTTTGGCTTGTTATTTTTTTGTTAGTTATTCCCGAATCGCTGACGAAGACTCGACGTACTCGGTTCTGGCGCATGGGGCCATAAAGCATCGCCGGGAGCAAACAATCTCGTAATGGCAGGTTGACGGCGGTGTGCTACTGCCGGCCGCGCGGTAATGAGATATTAGAGGCGCGCAAGGGAGTGGCGCGGCCGCGCTTCGGAGGGCGTTTCACGCTAAGGGTGCTATCGTACTACTCTCCGGGGACGCGATTACGCTACTGCTACTGTTGCTGCTCCGTCGCCTCTATGTTTATTCACTTTGCCACGTGATTTTTCAGGCTGCCGCCACTTTTTCGACGAGCCGATCAATCGTTCGAGCCCGCGGAGGCCAACGATTGAACGATTGAGTACGAAGACGGGCACAGCCGAGAGAATAAGAGAAACGTACGCCGACGTATGTGTCATTTGTTTGAGACTCGGCGGTGCGCGACTGGCCCACAGAGCGGAAACGCTGCTCGCGGCTTGTATCTTGTCGGTTCGCAGGTCAATCGATAGCAGATACGCCTCTTAATCAAGCGCCCGTGTTGTCCATGTTGTTTCGCTTGTTCAATCCTCTCGGCCGTCGAGAGAAACAAAATTGAAGATTCATAAACTTCTTGGATCATAAAAAGCCCATTTTGGGCAAAACGCCCGTCATCTCCTTTTCTCTATTAGCCGGCTATTCTCTCTCTTTCTTTTGGTCGTTGTCGTTTGTGCTGCATTTAAGCGTGATCCCTTTCGAAAAATTTTCGAATTCTCCAGCTCTTAGCCTCTCTTTCGGACAAATGGGTGTCCCTGCATATGTAAAAGCGGCGCTGTGTTCGTTCGTTCGGGCTCACCCCTCTGCTCGGCCATTTGTCAATGTCAAGGCGCGAGCGCCGTAACCATAGTAACACCCCCCTATGATTCTCTCTCTCTCTCTCTCTTTCTCGCACGCGAAAGCTCAGCTTTCTCTCTCTCTCTCTCTCTCTCTCTCTCTCTCTCTCTCTCTCTCTCTCTCTCTTGTTCGCTCGGTAGCCAGGATAACGCACACGCCTGCACTCCCACTATGGTAGCAGCAGCGACGGCAGTAGCAGCAGCAACGGCAGTAGCAGTAGCAGTCGTCGTCGTGCTGGCGAGTCCCGACGGCGCTAACCCAGCCCCCACCGCCCGCGCACGCGCTCTCCGCAAGCTTTTCATCCGGCCGATCCTCTCTCTCGCACTACTATGGCTTCGGGCATCCTCCGTCCGGCTCTCTGACAGGGGCGCCCCTACTCGTGCGGAGCTTTTTTGTACTTTTCCAAAGGAAAAAATCCATGAATTCTTTTTTCGAGGAAAACGCGCTTCTGTGAAACAATCGTTTGTTGCTATTTTTGTAGAAATTGTTGCTAAAGCATACCTTGCCTGGATTATCGCCGAAATACAGTACTTCTTTTTTTTTCCATTGATTGTCAATCCCATACCTGGGAAACTTTAATATTAAAATAGGAGCGATTCTTTTACGTCCAATAATTATTTCTCTTTTCCAAACAACATTCTATTCTACTGGATTACACGTTACAAATGACGTGCTATGGTTAGCATTAGTTTTAATCATTTGATAGATACAGACCTGTCGCAAAGTCAGCTCGGGAAATTAATTAAATTGCTTCCGGAAGTCCATGACTGCTACAAATTACGTGAATGACTTTACAATTTCCAGTTCACTCTCTCTCTCTTTCTCTCTCCCTCTCTTTTTCTCTTTCGCGGTGTATACAACGATAGCATGACATCTCTGACTGGTATATCATTAACGGCATTCAAATCACAGATCTATGTCAAAGTTATTTGATTTATCCATTATTATAGCGGAATGAAATATATCCGACAATCACTTTCATTCGTTTCTCAAGGTCATTCAATTACATCGCTAGCGTGCTTGGCAGCTTAAGACAGAACGACCGCGACGTATTTCATAAGATAAAAGGTAAAAAGGTAAAATCGAGTGCATACGAATAGAATAATTTTCCATAAAAGTCATGGGAACGATTAATGGTCGTGGTGAGTTTTATATAGAAGCTAGAAAAGAAATATAAAAGCGAGTCGTGGCGTACGAATGGCTTTCCATCCGCGCAAAGCTACAGGCGAATACCCGGCTAGTTTTGCTTGGGGCAAACAAAGGGAATATCGCGCAAAAAGAGAGCAGCTCGGGAACTTGCGAAGACAAAAGGCAGCAGCGACGAAAGGGAAATAGCAGAATTACCGAAAAAAGTCGGCAAAAGCGTAGCTCGCGGACTTTAAAGCTTGCGAATTCGCAGTCGCGGCGAAAGCTCTCTAGGCGGCGTACACACAAAAGCGTCAGAGCGAGCGAGAGAGGAAGCGGGTGGCAGGGGAGGGGGGAGAAAGAGGTTGTAACTACTACGCGGCCAAGACAGGTCGCTTAAATATGCAGGATGGGCGGCGGCGTTGTAGCGTGCTTGTAACAGAGGCAAAGGGTGAACTAACTCGCACGAGAGAGGAAGGCATAGACAAAGGGAGCGGGGCGAAAAAGAGAGAACGAGAGAAGTCGTCCAGGCGCCTGCGCGGCACGTAATGATTGACTGGCTCGCTGGCAGCCAACAGACAGACGTTCAGCTACCCACCCCCGCCGCCCGTTGCCCACTCTCTCTCTCTCTCTCTCTCTCTCTCTCTCTCTCTCTCGTTTTCTGCCCTTCTCTTCTACCTTTGCCCAAGAGGAACTCAGGCTACTCGTGAGGAAACACGCACGGCCGGCAGCGCCAGACACCAGTGCGATGGTGCTGAATTGTCTGTTTGTCCGGCTCCAATGCAGCCTTCAAGAATTTCTATTCTCCAAATAGCAATGGCATTTTAGCAAATTCTTTTATGTCAGAGTTCGCTCGCAAAAATATTCTGTGCTTTGATTCGTTGCTGCAGTCGTTTTTCGATTTTATTCCTCTAAAATAATTCATGTTCCATCGAGCCTTTTGCTTGGCATACGGTTTTTTGTTATAGTTTTTACATTCAAAAGTAAAATATATCACAGAGAAAACATTTAGACGTACAACAATACATATTTCTGTTAAAAATATTTGCGAAAGCTTTTACATTATTTTTCAAGACTTGATAAAATTAAACAAGTGATTGTTTTTTCAATCAACTTGTTTATTATTATAAGCATACTATGACAAATTTCTTTTACGTTCATATTTCTTGAAATTTTCTCAGTTGAGTGTCAGCTGACTTTTACTATTCTATAATGCATGAAAGTTATAAAAAAAATCTGAAGGCAATACTTAGCTGAACGCGCATAAGCTATTTTGTGTTTATGAATGTTAAATGAGTATCATTTCCGGTGTAGTATGTTAAGGTTAGGGTGAATATTGATTTGCCCGTACGTCGATGAATGTTATCTAGGAAGTGAGTTGAAGTAGACAACTACTTGAACGTTTGAATGTATTTTAGGGCAAATTGTAGGAAAGCGATGAAGAATAGAGCGCTGCGTGAAATTTATTTGGGAAATGTGAAAACTTGGTACTATCGTTGTTAAATATTGTTCGAGGAAATGTATTCTGCTATAAAAAAATATCAATTATGGAAATTGCAGTAATATTAAATTTTTAATGGCAATAAAAATCAGTTTAACAACGTGTAAGCCTGATAAATTGTACGAAGAAATAAATGCAGCGCATCGATGCAGTAATTAGCACTGCGTTAAAGTAAAGCAGGTTTGTAAAAAAAAGAAAGCTCGACAACCAATAAGTTCTATGCATCAATAACGGCAATGCGTG